ATTACAATAAATAAATAAATAAATAATATAAAAAATATGACACAGTATTTGAAATTTAGTATTTAAAAAATTCATTTTAGAATCGTCATTAGGAATATTTAATTTAATTATGAAAGACCGAAGTTGAACCGGTGGCGTTAAATGACTGACGAAATAATGTCAGAGCGAGGTGAAACGTCGGGAGTCAAGAAAGTGGTGCGAAGATTCGCTGCGGGTCGAGGTTCTAAGACAAGGTGAGGCAAGGTAAGGCGCATCTCGTCCCCCCTTTTTCCTCGTCCGGGGTACCAACGCGGGCGTTCAAGTATCATCTTATTAGACCCCCGCTATATAAACCCAACCTGGCAGCATGCCGGGCAGTTACGTACTGACTTTATTCACAGCCGTGCATCGAAGTGCATCGGATATTGGGACACGTGCCCCCATCGTCCACCTCGTCGTCGTCGTCGTCGTCGAGTCGTGTCTGTGAAATTCGTAAGGGTGGCATTGAGACACCGAGGCAGACCTCGATGACATTTCACGGATCACGCGACCTAACACCTTGTGAACGTGTCTAACGATCAGAGAAAATTTTTCATTTCCCTTTAATTTTTTTTTTTAAGTGACCTGTGCGATTCTTCTGTGATTTTCTACAGTTGAATTTTATTCCTAATTAATTGTAATATTAAACAGTAGTGGTGTAGTGTCAAAATTATTCTTTTTTTTACATTAGAATTGTTATATATAATAAATATCTTAATTTCTATTTGTTACGCTTTTCGGTTTTTAATTGGGACATTTGTTATAACAGTTTCTAATGCAATTAGAATTTGTATGTATAATAGAATGTTAGATGTCGAAGTATAGGGAGTGGTGTGCACGTATGCGGGAATAAGGGTGTGGTTAACCGTGAAATGTCGTCGCGGTCTATGCAACCCTTTAACCGCGCGGTTCTATGGAAAGCGCAATAATTTATTTCCACTCTAAACGGACGCTCCTCATGGAAGCTATAATCTTTCTCTACCCTTTTCTAAAGACCTTCGAGGCCGAGACAATAGCTTGGTATTTTCAATATTCCTCCTTTGTTCACTACGGCATCCGGCTAATGAGGCTTCAGGAACCGTAATCAACTGAATTCCTGCACGAGACTCTTCTCGAATTCATCAGATTACGCTTCGATTACCCGTTTAATTTTTATAAACATCAGATATTAAAATTGTGGAATAACAGAATTTTTCAGTGATTTCATATAACGTTCTCATCTTTCTGCGCAGTGATCTCTTGAAACAAACCGGTGCGTGAGTTAAGTTCAGTAAGTCTGGCTGTTTCGTTGCCTACGCAACATGTTTTACCTTCAGGTAAGCGACTATTTACAGAAATAACAATTTTAATCCTTTATAAATAAATCTTGCAATTAATTCAATTAATTATTTCAATATATATATGAAAGAGATCCTCTAAATAATTTTTTAATTTCTTGGNTTATTATAATACAATAGCGAGTTTTACTCCCACTTATGTTGATTAATATCGTAACACGTCGTTGAGAGAAATCAGCAGCTAATCGCGCTTGTGAAACGGCCCATTGAAAGTGACGAATTGCGTCAGGCGAAACTGATTAAGAGGAGTCGGATCGATTTCTTGAATGAAGCTGTTAGTTTTCCGTGCATATTAATTTTGCAATCAGGAAACGGTTTCGCACGCATCTGCCGGCGTTGTACGAGCTGGAAATGAGGCGGAAGGCGTGTAATTAAATCGTTGCGAAACCGAGCGACACGTACGCACCGGGAAATATCTCCTCGGCCAATTATCTCACGAAGCACTCCTCTTCTCTCTCAATTTTCTAATTGCTCCTTGTTACAACTTTTACCTCCGACGGCTCCCGTGGGACTCGCAACGGTTCGATAATAATTACTAACGATTAACCAGAGGCAAGACGTATCGATAGGAAAGTTTAACAGCTGCCGTCCCGTTTATCACTTATGCTCGGGTAGTTGTGCAATTTCCTATTCACTAATTGAAGAAAACGTTGACCGCGAACGATGTCGCGTTACCAAACTGCAGCATCACTAATTTTCAGCACGCTAACAGTTAATTAGATTCTCATCACGTTCGTAACAAAGTTCTGTCAGTAGGAAACTCTAAACCGATGGATGATTCACGGTTGTGTAAACGAGAGTAGGTGGAGGAAGTGGGTGTAGTTTTCTTTTTCATCAAAGAATAATTACATTCCTCAAAGTGGAATCTTGATGAGTCTGCATTCCAATTCTCTTAGTGTCCTTCGGAATCTGCAACAAAAAAAAAAAAAAGACTTGCTAGAATGTATACTAAAAAACATTAATAAATATAATCGTTTATTTTATTGCATTTAATGATAGTTCCAAGAGAATTTTCCTTGAAAGGTTAGGAACTCTCATTGCAGATAGTAATACTCAGCATGGCAGTGGTGCACGTGCTGTGCGACCTGCCTCCGGGAACGAGACGCAATACTTACTTGCCTCCTGAGCCTACGAAGGGTTACAATTATGACAAACCACCGATACCGTTCACCAGACCCACTCCCACGCCTAAGAGACCGCCGAGTCCTACACCGCCGACGCCGTCGTACCCGACACCCAGCACGAGACCGGTATAAAATGATTTGAAGTACCCCTAAAGTTCTTCTCTAATATATCCGAAATCGTCTCGAGTTGCTGGTTCGCCCGAACGCAAAAGACCTCCAGTGCAAAGGTTCAAGATAAGAAATAGATTTTTAATATTCTGGGAAATAAGAGAAATCAAATATAAAATATATATTATTTTCTTTAGACGTTTGATTTATAAACTCAGTTAAAGAATAAAAATAAGCTTCGTTAAACGTCAGTAGAATGAAATTAATTAAAAGACTTTAGAAACATCGTAACTGTTTTACAGATTTTATGCATTTGCACGAGAGGAGAAGAGACAGATTTAATTCATACGTTACAATACTGTAATTTGATCGCAGCACGACCATCACCACCACGAGCCAGGTATGCCGTTCGACTTCAACTACGCGGTAAAAGAGGAGGCCTTCGGCAACGACTACTCGCATAACGCGATAAGCGACGGTGACATAGTCCGCGGTGAGTACAGAGTCCAGTTGCCGGACGGGAGGCTGCAGATCGTCCGTTACACCGCCGATTGGAAGCACGGGTTCAGCGCCCAAGTGTCCTACGACGGGAATCCCCGTTTCGACGTCTCCCGGCCGCCGCCGAACAACTTCGCCGGCTACTAGTGTCCACGGCGTTCACGTCCTGCGGTTTTTATTGTTAATCGAGCTGTCGGTCAGACGGCTGATCGGGACTCATTTTTGGCGTTGCTTATTCTTCGAAAATCGCTAACGTCGACGGCCGGTTATTCTGTATTCTGGTTAAAAATTTTACACCCTCGACCACCGTAGATTTAAGATCCTTAGCCCAGAGG